CCCCCCCACTGACGTTCTGCTCCGCTATGCTCAAATACGTACGCTCTGAATAGGGCCAATACAAAACCCTCCAACCATTCCAAAAAGGGCCCGCTTACAAATAAGCGTAGCAAAGCCAACAGAAAACGCTATTCCTCCCGCTTGGTTTTCATTTCTTTTTTGACAACAAGAGTGTTGTTGGTTTAGCCGGGCATGTTGCGCTTACGTGAAGGGGAGCGCGATTCTAAAGCGCTTTGCAAATAACGCCAACAAACAAGAAACTGTTTTCATCTCACGAGGGCTGTTCCGAGTGGGGGAACACTGGGATTTCTTCCCTGGGCCCTATGTCTGTGGAACCGGGGTTTGTGCTCTACGACGCCCCCCTGTCGGAGGAAAAGGCGCGGGGGAATCTTGACGTAGATGTTCAAAACAGACGCGCGCGCGTGCAAACAAATCAGCAAAAACGAGGAGTTTGTTTAACCTCGCCCCTTGATGGTGTGCTCGTTAAGGTGGAGTGTGCTGGTGGAAACTGCGCTCAAGATTGACATTTTTTTTTTTGGGGGGGGGGGGATACACTCGCAGTTTATTAACGCCGTGTCTACGTCGTGGAGTTGTGGATGGTTGTATCCCGTGTTATCAATCGGGTGTTGGGTAGAGATTTGTTGATTGTTTTGTCGTTTCGTTTCGGTTTCTGGGGTTCTAAAATATTTTTGTTAGATCTAAGTTCTGCCCCTCCCAACATGGACAGATAGCTGAACGACATCAGAACGTTTTCTGAACTTCCCAGTGGTTCTATATTCATAAGAAGTCAAGAACGTCTCATCTTGAGAGTTCAGTCGGAACTAAAATTACATTAAGTTATAGCGGTTTTTTTACAGGTATAACAAACAACATGTAGACACATAGACAAATAGACAAACACTCCTGGACTGTATCCTTTTCTTCGTCGTCTTCTCCAAATTCTCCTCCTCCTCCTCCACCACCACCACAACCACACCCTCTTCCTCCTCCTCCTCAACCTCTTCCTCCTTCCCTCTCTTCCCTCCTCCTTTCCTCCTCTGCTCCTCCTTTTTTCCCCATCCACCGTAATGTCTCGCTTTGCTGATCACGTATAATCCGTGTGTGCTTGGCAGAACAGAAATCTTTGTCACTACACGTGCTTACAGAAAGATGAACACGAAAGCTTCAATAGTTTCTCGTAACCTGAAAAATTTCCCGCATTGTTCCGTACCCGTCTTCCGGTTTTTCCAGACGACACAGAACGGCTGTGACAAATCAGCCTGGATTTCCTAGCGGGTGTATCCGACCTGGCTCTACGTGCCCACATTAGTCATGATCGAACCTGGAATAATGGTGATATTTTTCAGAGTCAAGTTGAATACATAAAGGGAAGTAAATTCAAAATTTAAATAAAAAAAGCAGTGTAATTTGTGTATTTGTTTTCCCATTTATTTATTCATCAAATTATTTATTTATCAATGTATTTATTTATGCGTTTATCCACTTACTTTTAGGGGTGGGGGTGGAGGGTGGAAGGGTTCTATTCCTCTACAGTATTGACCCTAATGGAACTTCTCGAAGACTTTAATTCTAACCCAACTGACCAAAAGAACTTTCGATACGTGCGTGTGTGCGTTTTTGACAACGCTGCTATTCACAGGTTTACAATAGTTTCAACTATCTGACAAAATGCTCTGTCGATCGTTTACATTTGTAGCATCAAGTTTCTGCCAGAGTCTATTTGAGCTAATTTTATTTCAGTGTTAGTGCACCTGACAAGTCTGATTTCCGAGCAAATCCCAATAGAATCATGCACAACTGAATAGTTGAATACATTGTAATGTTTTTAATAATCAGGTACTAAATAGTCACACCAACACCATCACACTTTGAATAGTACTCCTTCACTTTAAAGGTTGTTCAGGTAAAAAGTTGAAAGAGCATACTTCAAATGGAATAAGTCATTTCGAATTCAGGAGAGAAAAAAGAACCTTTGTGAACGAGTAGTCAAATGTTTTACAGTCCCATCGACAGAATTAAAGACGTCATGTTAGACACACCACTTAGGTAAGGTCGCTCCTTCGAATTTGTACGCATAAAACCCGTTTCCGGGTGAAAGGTCAAACGAAATTTAACCATCTCAGGCGAACAACGGAGACACTCGATGAGACAGACTCCCTACCAGAGTGTCGAACTCACATCTTTTGCGATCCACAGCAAAGAACCTGACGATTGATAACAGCGGACGGGTGACGTCAGAATTTCAAATAGAGAGACGAAATATCCAAAGAATAGCGGCCGACAGGCTACCAATACACAGATGTGATTTGTTCAGTTACATGGCAATCCAACTTCATCTACCAGAACATAATCCACACTAGTAACACCATTTTCGAGAAGATGTAGGAAAAAGACAAAGCAACAAATTAAGTCACGTGTACATCACTCTGGGAATCTATCCAATGAAATACTTCCGTTTCCGGGTGAAAGGTCAGTGAGTACAATCCAGCTGACATTAGTCCACAGTGTTTACTCTGTTTTCTCACAGATGGGAAATAAAAGAAGGTCATGAACATACCTCACTATGTACCTCCCACTAGGAATGTATCTGATATGTTGGTCTGTGTGAAAGTCAAAGGTGATGTCAGTTCAATCCACAAAGAAAAAAAATCGTGTCTTCGCATAAGATAATCCGAAGAAGATAAACGCAACTCTCAAAGACACCATCACACGAGAATATAATCATCCGAATGTAATCCATATTAGGGTACACGTAGTTGTGCAAAAACCGCCGACAAATCAAATCAGAACATGATTGTGTAGTAGCTCTGACATACACACACATACACGCGCACACACACACACACACACACACACACACACACACACACACACACACACACATACGCGCGCACTCAACAACACACCTACACACCAACAGCACACCTGGGACTGCCTCTTTCTTCCATGCGCCTGAGCGACGACAACTCAGCCATCCATCTCTCGCCGAACCCTCCAGCACCCTCTCTCCCTCACACACACTCACACACTCCCTCAATCTGTCTGTCTGTCTGTATCTTCCCCCTCTCCTTTCTCCTAGCCAGAGACGCCGAGGACGTAGAGGTCTTATATACCCCTGGCCTCTAAGTGCAGCAATTTGACTCAGAAGGTCCCCCGATTTCCTTCCCTCAATGACACGGCCCTTGGCCGCCATGATTGAGGAAAAACACACGTTTGTCAACAGATGAATTTGCCCCCGATTATACGCAATTTTCCGCCGAGGCGAGGCTTGAAATTTCATAATAGTCCTTGATTAGTGGGTCTTAGCGTTTTTCTCCTGTGTGGCAGAGTGACAAGGGGCGGTGCTTAAGTGTCTGTTAAATGAGTGGAGGTGGTCGGGCTCCCTTTCATCAGGGACGGCCGCTAGGTGGACAGCATCGATCTGGTGGCTAGGCCAGGACAGGACATGGCAGG